AGGTTGCCTCTGGGTCCAGTAACCCTCCAGCCTCTCCTGAGGTACAGAGGCTCAGGGCAGAGAGGCGGAGAACTAAGTTCTCGCAGGAGGAGTGCTCGCCTCCAGGCCAGGAGAGGCGAGTCACCTGTGGACTGGGACCGCCTTATGCCTCGGGGCAGATAAAAGCTGGCCAGCCCCAGTCCCAAGTTGCAGGAGCAACATTGTTGGTAACCTGTTCCTGCCGGCACCCTGTCCTGCTCTTCTGCCAGAGTTCCTGACCACACCCGACTCCTTGCCTTGGACCCCGCTTCAGCCTTGACGGACAGCCTCCATACCACACCCTCGACCTTGGACTGGACTTGGACCACGCTGCATGGTAACCCCCCGGGACCAGCACATCCTTACTGTGGCATAGTGGTGTCACCTTGTGCAGAGGATAGGGATAAATCAGGATTATTGATGTGGTATCTTCCAGAGGTTTTGGCCTCCGACTCCCATCATTCCAGCCAGCTTGACTGGTGGTAGAACATGGTGAGAATTGTAATCCAAAACATTGGAAGGGCACCACAATAGCCTTAAAATCAGGCCTTAAAACCCTAGGTAAACACTTGGGACAGGTATGGGGGGAACCTTTGGCCCTCCAGATGTTGATGAACTGCAGTTGTCATAATCCCTGGCCATTGGTCATGCTGGCAGAGCCTGGTGATCATTGTAGTTCTGCAATATCTGGAAGGCCAAATGTTCTCTACACCTGACTTAGGAGATGGAGGTATAAAAGCAGCCTAGCTAGGAGGTTAGGGTTGGAGCAGGAATGTTGTTATTGTCGGCATCCATCTGTCTGAAGAGACAATGGAGTGTGGCTCCAGGGGTGAAGTCAAACTGCAGCACCAAAGTGACCTCTCTGGGGTGCAAGCCTGGGTAGTGTGTATGGAGGTCCTAGGCTGCCCATATGACAAGGCCTCCCCCTCGACCTCACTGATGTGGTCCAAAGGAAAGCAGATCAGTACGTTTGGTACCAGCTCGGCTGCAGAAGTTGCCAGAAGGAGACATTCAAGGCACCAACCAACCGTCTCAGGGACTCCACTCCGGATTTGGGCAGGGTTTATTTCTTGGCCTGTTCTTCTCCTGAAGATGTCCCACAAGGCAGCAGAGGTTTAGGACCAAAGTTTTCCTCCTCCTAGACTGGCTTCCTTCCCAGGTTGCCAAGCCCCACGAGAAAAAAACCCTATAGAAGAGGGACGGAGAGATAAAATTTTCAGCGCACAGACATGCAAAGGATGAGTTGAATCAATGGTTCCTTTATGTGGAGCAGCAAATGTGAATAAGAGAATGGGGGTTCTGCAGGCTCTCCCCGTTTTGGAACCTACCTCTGCTTTATCTTGAGAAAAGAGGAGGCCTTTTTCTCTTTAGGAGTGTTCTGCAGGGGGAGTTCATTCTCCTTAGACACCCAGGAATAAAGAGCAAGTGTGGATTGTGTTCTTTCAATATGTTGCATTGCCAGCCCAACTGATTTTGATATGCAACTGATTGCATATCAAACAGCCCAACTGATTTTGATATTTGGCAATTTCAGTGTTGTGAGTCAAGGTGAGTTTGGTGTTACATTACTAGTCACCAGACAACCAGGAAGCCCTTAATTGGCAGCGCAAATCCGAAGCTATTTTAGGAGATCAGTATGGGATTAGGAGCACCTTTTGAATCAAATGTGTGCATTGGTTCTTGCTCATTATGTCTACTTATGCTAAGTCTATTATGAATCACATTTTTGCTTACTGCACACTTTGAAAATAGCCCATTTATTACATGTAATTCTTAACCTAAATGGGAAACATTAGTTTCTTCACACTCTAGAGAAAAGTTGGAGAAGTAAAATTATATACCACCAGTTGATCTGTCATTTTCATCTATATTATCACAATCTAATTAACCATCATTTCTGTTTTGCTGATGCTGTGTTCATCTCTACTACAGATAATCTTAAGGACATTTTTGCCTTGTCTAAACCATTAATTATGGTATGATGGTCAGGTTACCCAATTCCAGAATTAGGTGTAGGTTTGGAGCAAGAAGTAACTTGTTAAAAATATTCTTTTTGTTTTCCTTTTCCTTTTTTTTTGCGTAATTAAGAGAGAAGTGGGGAAGGAGGAAAGCATGAAATCAAGAGGTGATCAGATAAATTGCTCGCGTAAAACAATGAACTTCAAAAGAGAGAGAGAGAGAGAAGAAGAAGAAGAAGATGACGACGAAGAGGAGTTTGGATTTGATATCCCGCCTTTCACTCCCTTTAAGGAGTCTCAAAGCGGCTAACAATCTTCTTTCCCTTCCTCCCCCACAACAAACACTCTGTGAGGTGAGTGGGGCTGAGAGACTTCAAAGAAGTGTGACTAGCCCAAGGTCACCCAGCAGCTGCATGTGGAGGAGCGGAGACATGAACCCGGTTCACCAGATTATGAGACTACCGCTCTTAACCACTACACCACACTGGCTCCTAAAATAGGAGTTTTAGGCCCAGTCCTAAATATATTTATTATTCTGGCCACTTCCCGCTAAGTTTAGTGACATCAACTTCCACCCAAACATACGTAGGGGTTAGGCTGTGTCCAGTTTGCAAAACACTTTGCATTTCGTCTGACCTGGACACTATATATGGTCGAGTATCTGGATGCACCTTCTTCATCTGTTGCTATGGTTACTGTTCAGTTTGTTGAGCCTAAGGATGTGCTCAGAACGTCCAGAGCTGTAAGGACATTTGCCTGGCTGATTAAAGTAACCAGAGGTAGCATGTTCTGCTGGGTGGGCAAGACAATAAACGCTTCTTTATAGGAGAGCAAGGTTTGGAAGAAAAGCATGGCAAGACAAGACTATTACAGAAGGAACTTTTTTTTTTTGACCCCACCATTTTAAATGACTACTGGCCTATACATTCCATCTGTATCAGATGCTTGACACCCCAACTTCAGGTGCTCCTGGAAGACACTAATTTTTTGGATCTATTTCTATTCTGGCTCTCAGCCTGGTTTTGAGACTGAAATTGGAATTGGACAGGGGGGCTTGCATCCTCATGCTGGATCTCTGATGGCCACACCGACCTGTCAAAGGGACTCATGGGGAGGGGAGAGATTAGGATCCAGTCCACCAGGCAAATCCAGTTCCCCACTCCTGGTTTATGAGACCCCTTAGGCTTCCACCTTGTCCCCAAACTATTTAATATTTGCATGAAAGTTCTGGATAAGTTGTCCAGAGATTTGGAGTGCAGTGTCATAGAATCCAAAGAAAAGGGCAAAGTCCCCCCCCCCATTAAACCCTCCAAGGAGGCCTTTGTCGAGCCCACTCAAGCTACTACCCATCTCATGGGCTTCCTATTCCTTTGCTCCTCCCACTCACAGCCTTTTCTTAGTAACTGCAGCGATGCATCTTCTGTTGCTCCTCTACTTCCTTCCTGAACCACATAGGAAGCAAAGACACAGCCTATGCCTCATTTCTCCTGTTCATCTCCCAACCACCACCACTAGGACCAATAGCACAGCTGCCTTTGTGATCCCCCAGGGAAAACACATACATACACTGGGGGGGGGAGGACCTGACCTCTCCCCACAAATGTCAGGAAGAGAACAAAGGGCAGGAGCGAGCCTACTGGGCACATGGTGGGGAAGAATGTAGTGATGCTTGCAGGTGCCACAACAGAGGCTCTGATGGGGCTATATGGATGCAGACCCAGAGAATGAATCAGAAGAGGGACCACATTTGCAGAACACATGCAATCTGTCATCCAGCTAAGACTGCACATACACCATACATGTAAAGCACATTCCTGCCCCCTCCAAATATCCAGAGAACTGTAGTTCATTAAGGGTGCTGGGGACTTTAGCTCTGTGAGAGGTAAGCTACAGTTCTCAGGATGCACAAAGCTACAATTTCACGCACCCTTAACTACAATGCCCAAGATGTGCTTTAAATGTGTTCTGAATATTTGTTGTGTGCACAGCCTAGCAATGTTTGTGCAGAAGCACTTTCTGATTGTACATGTCCCCTCTGTAAGTTGGGCATCAGTCTGAAGAACCGGCGAGTTGGCCCTGGATATGGGTGCTCCTGAATTATGAATTATGGTGCTGGAGGATTGAATTATGGTGAATTGAATTATGGTGCTGGAGGAGACTCTTGAGACTCCCATGGACTGCAAGAAGATCAAACCTATCCATTCTTAAGGAAATCAGCCCTGAGTGCTCACTGGAAGGACAGATCCTGAAGCTGAGGCTCCAATACTTTGGCCACCTCATGAGAAGAGAAGACTCCCTGGAAAAGACCCTGATGTTGGGAAAGATGGAGGGCACAAGGAGAAGGGAACGACAGAGGATGAGATGGCTGGATAGTGTTCTTGAAGCTACCAGCATGAGTTTGATGACCAAGCTGCAGGAGGCAGTGGAAGACAGAAGTGCCTGGCGTGCTCTGGTCCATGGGGCCACGAAGAGTCGGACACAACTAAACGACTAAACAACAACAAACAACAACATGGGTGCTCCTGAGGAATAATGACATGTGATCTGAAAGTGGGGTGATGGTGGTTAATTGCCTTCTCTCAGAGGCAGGTGTGTTCCACCCCTCAGAGAAGTGGGTCTGGTTTGGTTTAGCTCATTCCATGTGTGTTCCACCTCAGTGAGAAAAGACTTCCCTCAATAACCACAGACTTTCTGTGACATAATGATACTTGCTGCTAATAAGATGTTGGGCATTGCGTGAAACACAAATGACTGTGTGTGGGTTCGGCTTTGATCACTGCCCACTTGGAAGAGAGTTTAAATTCCATGCAGGAGACGGGCACATCCCAAAAAGTCTTCAGCAGCCGGGGAAAGAGCTTCAACAAAGTAGCAGGAAGACCAAGCCATTATTTCTTCTGAATTTGCCATACAACCACGTGGTAAGAATTCCTTGTAATGCCAAGGTGGAAATTTGCAATCTGAATAATGAAAGACGGTGGGGGAAAAATCATTTCTGATTCTTTCATGCAGGCACCAATTTGAAATATGAAGATTGTAATTCTACTCCTTTCTCTTCTGGGGCTGGCAATCTCTTTACCAGTAAGTAGCTTTTAATCTACTCAAGCTTGGCTGTTTTGGTAAGACGCACACATACCTAGCAAGCTACAGCAAGGTACACTTAATGTACGGCATAGCTCTGGGCTTCTAGCTGATAATGGTTCAACATGCTTCTCCCTAAATCCAAGCCTGCAGGGGCAGTGAAACTCACCATTCCACATGTAACTTGGCTTCCTCTGTGCTGCAATACTTTCCCAAACAGGAGGCAACTTCATGCTCCAAATATTGATGCTTAGGTGTGAAAATGTTCATTTTCAGACTTTATTTTGTAATCAGCATTTGCACATACCAAATTTCAGCTGGTTGAAAGTAGTATTTTTTGGGGGTGTGGGTGTGTATCCTTATCTCCCTCCCCCCCCCATTTCCTAGGGAGAGACTTACAAATGTCTCAATTTCACACTGTGCTAGTAATCAGGGGACTGCAGTGGGCTATGCCTATGCTACATGCTAGCTTTCTGAAAGTATTTTCAGCAACGGAGGTATAATGTTTCTGGGGGCAGGCCTGTGAATGTCTTTCTTTTCAGCCTTTTTCTGCTAACTAGTCCCAGACTAGGTGTGTGCTTTCTGTGTGGCAAAATACCTTAACCACATGGGTTGCAATTTATAACACCCACCCACCCCAATTTGAAGACAAGACATAGAAACGTCCTGCTTTCGGGGGGGTGTAGTAATTGGGGTGCACTGAACTTTATGTGTGCCCGTTTTCTAGCTCACTGATAAATACTCATTTTCATTTCCCAAGTGAGCCAAGCAGACAGTAAGGGGTATATGTGTACGTTTTCAGAGAATGAGAAGGTTTAGAAAGGTTTATATGCAGAGGAGAGATTGCCGGCTTGCTTAATTCAAGGCTAGGCATAACAACAACAACAATTTAAATAACTAACAGTTTGCTGCCCTTTCATGGTGTCCCAAATCAGCTGCCTGAGGTGGAAGGTTTCCTTTGTGTAAAGGCAGCTGCTTGCCTTTCATCGCTCATGTTATTTTGCAAAGCACTATGTGCATTGATTGTGCCATTTCTGGGTTTCCCAAGCTTCTGAAAGCTGACACACATTTGGCTTTAAAAAAAATAAAATAATAATAAGTAAATCCTGAATTAACATTAGGGCATGCATCGGTTTCAAAGGAAATTCTAAAAGCTTACTTTTATGTATGAGAAAGAGCTACCCGCACACAGAAGTGCCCTCAACCTTGCTTTTTGAGGCATCTGTGTCCTGTGTGAGTCGTACCTGGGGTTGCATGTCCAGACTTTCCCAGAGATATTTGAAATACCGTGGTCAGCAGCAGTGTCTGGGCAAAAATTGTTGAAATGTCCGGGAAAATCCAGACACCTGGCAACCGATGTTGGCAGTGTGTCGTTTTTACTGATTTCCCATAAAAAATAGTTCAGAAACGTTAATTTTGTTTGCAGTTTTGGTAAAAAAAAAAAGCTCAACAACTTTTTTGTCCGCATTTTCACGGTTTGAAATATGGCAACCCTAGTCCTCCAAGGATAGATCATTCTGCTATGTCCCAGGTTCAACCCCTGAATGTCTCCAGTTTAAAGCAGGACTGGGTAGCAGAGGCCGTGAAACCTTTACCAGAGGCCTTGGAGAGATTTTTAAATGCTTGGAAACAATACCCAAGAAAGAATAAGCAGTTCCATGTATATCCCCTTAGAGTAACAATATTTACACATGTAAATCCAACACTAAAAAGTTCATCAGCAGCTCAGTGCAGATGCACCTGGCAAACACAGAGTAGTGAATTTTATGGGATCATTTATGCCATAAATATAATGCTGCAACTCACAAAGCTCTGCTGATGCTTGATCTCTGCCCATCTCATTGCACAGAAAGTTCTGTGCTCTGTTTCTGTAGACTTCTGAAACTTCAAGCTGTGATGCTGGGGAGATGTTGCTACCTTGATGCACTGCGGTAAACGGTGCACCGCCCAAGCAGTTGGTGCGACATGACCTATCAGACATAAGCATTCAGGAGCTACTGCATTACCATTATTTAATTTTGAGTAGGTTGCAATGATGCTGGAACATGAACTAGGTAATTGCTATAGGAAAAGCGAATGAAACACAACACCAGTGGCAGAGGAAGGGGGGTGGGGTGGGGGCGGGCTGCCCTGGGTGTCGCCACTGAGGGGGGTGACAAAATGCAGGGCAGCACTCACTGCGGGGCCTGCAGCACGCCTGAGCCACGTGTCTCTCCTGGGAGTGAGGTGGTGGCTTGGGCGCCCGCAGGCTCCGAGCTGCCCCAAGTGGTCAACCCGCTGCCTCCCCCTCAGCTGTAGGGCGGCTGAGTGGGAGGAGGCAGGCAGACTCTGGAGGCCCCACGGAGCATCCTGCCCCGGCTCGCTCTGCCCAGTGGGTGGCTGGCCCTGCTCTGAGCACAGGGCATGCGCGCCACCCCAGGCACCCGATCAGCTTGCTCCACCGCTCTGCAACGCCAATCCATTTTGGTGTACTTCATCTGGAATGCATTTGCTTCCTCCTTAGGTGAACCAAATGGGCAGACTCCTTGCTACAAGCAACAGCAGAGAGGTAAGCAGTGTGCTTGTGTGCATGCTTTGTAATGTTAGGAAAGCGTCTTTTAAACTATGTATTTCCTTGTCGCTTTTACAAGCTGGATAATTAGCTAGACAAATGCTTATCAAGATGGCAGTGATGCTGGAGACTGGCACAGATTCGTCCCCCTATATACATATTGTAAGTTGCTGGGTTCCCTTGGCAGCTCCTCAGCCTCAGCCTCTCCCCCCCCCCCAACTATTGGTTCTGGCCAAAGCAAAAGGCAGAGGAGGGGCTGTTTCTCAAGGTTTGGCACAGTTCAGCACTAAGCCAGAGTGCACTTTGGGGTGAATTTGAGGGCGAATGCTCAGTAGAGGAAGCTGAACAGATGATCTCTGTGGGAATTAGACTGTGGTTCCTATTTGCAGAGTATGCGGAAGACAGACCTGGGTTATCTGGCCCTTTCATTCTCTTTTCCCTCATATAGAAACAATGCAAGGCACTCTCATTTAAAGTTAAAAGAATGCATAACTTTACTCTGTGTACTTGCAGTTGTGATGTCCCCCCCCCCATTGCCCTCGCAAGCTGGTACTTCTGTTCAGAAGTTTTGTGTTTCCTGCAAATATTTGGCTTCTCTGATGTACTATCAGCTCTGGTGACAAATGTTCTATAAGGGCTGGTGAAGCTGTGGGTGTTATTGTGCCGTTTTTGTTCTTTTCTTCCTTTTGTACCAACCCGAACATCTCCTAAAAGTCTTCATCGAAACATTCTATTTTGTTTTACCACTGTGGACATTTTGAATAGTTTTCAGTCAAAATAAACTGCCTCCCAAGCTTAAGTACATGTGTGTATAGGAAAACATCCGCAGTACAAGGGAAAGTCAGCAAATTACTATATATCATAGTATATGAATAGTCTACATCACTTCTCCAATGATGAATAATTCAGATTTATCACTTGCAAGAAACTGTTCTGTAATTCAATCCTCAGATACTACGACTGATGCAAAGATACAAAGCCATGGGGAACAATCCGCAGCAAACACAGGTACCTTAAAAGCAAAGTAATTGAGGTGCAACAAGTTGGAAAAGAAAAATTAAGTTTTAACTGCATTGTTCTTGTGAATGTGACGTCTCAAGATAATCTTTAACTGCTGCAGAATTAGGTCATAAGTTTAGTTCTGTATTCCTGTGTGCTGGCTTTACCACTGAATATTACCAACATTGAAATTTCAAGGCTAATTTGATGGCTCAGTAGAAGCATCCAGTTCAAATGGCAGTGGAACGAGAAATGGAGAACAGGGAGCTTGGAATGCCAACAATTCCTTGTCAGACAAGGCTGTCCCACTTCAAGTTGTGCAAAGCCCACTTTAAGCTTCTCCTAACTTGGGCTTCTCCTAACTTTGGGCTTGGACAACACCTCTAATCTTTGCAGCTGGAGACTGAGTACAAGACCCACAATCCTCAACTGCATATGGCAACCAAGGCTAGGTTCTGCTCAGTAAGGGAGGTACAGAAGTAATAAGGAGGGGAGTAATGGGGGAGGGTGTCTATATTCTGAGTTTTGCTAGCATTTATTGTGAACATTTCAAGGTTTCTGAGTACACGGTAGGAATGCTTCCAAAAACCCAGGTGGTTTTTGAGACAAATAGGAGAGTGTCTGCACATGTTATAATCCAGGAGAACTAATGGAGTCTATTCTTGCCTCAAAGGGACATTTGGCACCACTACTCAAATAGACTTCTGTCAGTATCCTTATCTTTGAGCCTCTTGCTCTCTCTCTACTTTATGGGACTTCCTCCCAATCTTCAGCATCCCCAGTAAAGCTATTTCTGTCCCTAGAAGCTGATGTGTGGTTTTAACCCCAGCCAAACTGACAGCATTGCTGTCCTTCACAGACCCACAGATACTGAATTGCAAACATTCTGATACACTTCCCACCCAAATATGATGGTAGATGGTAGACGACAGACAGATGATAGATAGATGATAGATAGATGATAGATAGATGATAGATGATAGATAGATAGATAGATAGATAGATAGATAGATAGATAGATAGATGATAGATGATAGATAGATAGATAGATAGATAGATAGATAGATAGATAGATGAAGATAGATAGATGATGATAGATAGATAGATAGATAGATGATAGATAGATAGATAGATGATAGATAGATGAAGATAGATAGATGATAGATAGATAGATAGATAGATAGATAGATGATAGATAGATACTGTAGATGATAGGTAGTAATAGCTTGCTCTTCACCAAATGGTCCAGGGCAAATTACAAAAATATCACAATAAAAACAGGTGCAATTTATATTAAAATCATAAAAGACCACAAAACTAACCGATAACAAAGTTAACAGCAATGGATAGGAAGGAAAGAGGAAGGAAGACATATACTCAACCAAAGGCAATCCATACTGGATCTTCCAATAGGTAATAGTGGCTAACTAGTACAACCTCAGTGCAATATAGAATTAATTTCATCATTAGAAAGAGAAAATCTTGGAGCAGTAGCAACACTTTGGGAGTGCTTTTCTTTATTTTGAACAGAGGCCATCTCTCTTTTAGAGCTGAAGCAATAAGCAAACATAAACCTGATCCTTAAAATAAAATAAAAAAACAATGTTCAAATTGCATACTTCATCCTTAATTTGTGTTCCCTACTTGATGGTAGCAAAGGCCAAGATTGGGGCCTGGATTGCCTCCAGCAAAGCTGGTTCCAGATCAGAATCCATCAGTAAACCAGGTGCCCAATGAGGTAAGCTGGAAAGAATTCATCTCACAAGTCAGTGTTGTGTAATGCGTTTCCATGGTAGTGGGTACCGCTATTTTAGAAGTGCAGACAGAGAAATCAATGCCAGCTGCTCGACTCCAAATTGCAGGCCTTCTGGCTCATGGGGGAATGACCCAGTGGAACTGGTCTGGCTAGGTCCATTAAACAAGATGCTGTAGGTGGGCTGAAAGCAAGGAGCTTAGAAGTCCCAGGCCTTATGGTTTGAGAGCAAAAATGAGAAAAGTTTGCAGCAGGCAGATCTGATATAATGGCTCACATTCTAGAGGGAGTCTGGTGCCTGACTGCCTTCACAGATGAGGCTTCTGTTACTGTTATGGAAGGCTGCATATACATCTGCTCTGTGTGGTTCAAGACAAAGAGATCTGGGCGCTGAATGGCAAGACATTTCTCTCTTACTGCTGGTGTTATTTGTGCTACTAAATTGACTGTGCAGAGAGGAAGTGATGTGGTTAGAAATACATTTTCTTAAGCCCAAGTTAGTGGTTCCAGCTAGGTCCCTCCTTACTGCACATGAAGGGGTCAGTCTATGGACTGACAAGAATAATGATGATTCTGGGTTTGTGGCAAAACTAGTTCACATTCCTGCAGCAGCAAGTGTACGACAGGTGGGTCAATCCTATTCAGAATCAGAACTGGGACTAATGGACCTCGAGAGTCCCAAATGATCTTGCTCTTGTGTGTTTCAGAGCTAAATACGCTTGTTTTGAAGTCATTTCCTTAGTCTCACCTATTTCCACTGGACCTACTTCTGAATAAATGTGTTTGGGATTACATACAAAGTCTTTTCACCACAGCTTGACTGTGGCTCAGATTTCAACTAAGAATATGGGAGATAAATTTGGCATATCTCACGCCCAATACCTTGATTCAAACTATGCTTATCCATATTATTTACTCTGGCTAAAATTCTATACACAATGGGGTTAAGTCCTATTGAATTCTGAGTGGACTGCACTGTCCATCTGTTCCAGCATAGCCAGCTTTCCAGGTTATATTTATTAAATGCATGTTGATCAATGTGATTCTTTGTCACCCTTTAGCAGGTTGCTCCACTTGAATGGACGTTTGCAAATTTCCCAGTTACTTCCAATTTCCCACAAAACCCACCAGAGCTGGGAGGGCCAAACATGCAAGTAAGGAAGCTTCTTAAAGGGTTATGTACCGTCTTAAAAGCAGATCATAAATGCATTGTGCTTTTCTAACTTGTAACAGAGATTTGAGTATTATTTTATTTTATTTTTCCATGTAGTCCAGGAATTATTTTCTTTCAGCATATAGTCCAGATATTGTTCAACTCCAGCTCCCACCATCCCTGACCATAGGCTATGTTTACTGGGGCTGATGGAACATTTGGAGGTCCCCCTCCTATTACCTTCTTCTAGGACCTTGTTTTACCTTTTCCAGTGTTTTTAAATAAAACTGAAGGATACATTGGCCTGGTTGACACATCACAATCAGCCAACCATGGCTAAGCACATGTGTGTTGAGGTCTCAGCCACTTCGTTCCATTCTCCTGTTGTGCTGAGCTAAGCCATGGTTTGGCTTAAGATGTCTTCTGAACCTGTGATCATGATGTAGCTCTCCCAGACTCTCTCCACAAGCCATAGACCGCAGGACAAACCTTAAAGCTCATAGTCTGTAGAGGGCTAAACCACAAGCCCATATTTGGATGACATGATAAGCCAAGCTATGGTTTATTTGCAGTGCAGCTCAGCAGCAGAACAACTGTAGAGGAGAAAAGCAGCAGCAGGAGTCCCCATGTTTGTACAGTCATGCTAAGCCATGGTTTCACTTAACGTGGTATGTGAAGTAGGCCATCAGTTCTTCACTGTTGTGAAACATTCATTGTGAAGTCACTCAACAGTAAGTTTTAAAATTGAGATTTCAAATGGTTTGATCTTTAAAGGCTAAGCTAAATATTCTAGAGCTGCTATTATTGATTTGAATGATTTCTCCTACTCCTCAGCCAAGAATAGTTCCCAGAGCAGCAAACACTGTATTTTAGTTGCATCATCTGATATCCAGAATACTCTTTGAACATTAGAATATAAAGAAATATTCTGCTGAGTAAATGTGTTATATGCTATGGCTTTCAATGTTTTTGCATAAATCACTTTAAAAAACTTCAGTCATTTTTGTGTTACAGAACTTTCCTGGCTATAATGTACTACCGTTCACCCAGATGCTCCCATTGGACCTTAATTCTGTAAGTTATTTTTCTTCCTAAGCATGCCATGTTCTATATTTGGTTTCATCACTGCAAGGTTATTATTTTTTTAACAAAAAGAAATGAAGAAATCATTTTGGTTTTGCTCTATAGGAAGTTTTGTTATATCTGAAGGTATTCTGATGTAAGAAGACACCATTATTGCTGCTCCTATTACAGAACTTCTATTTATCTAAAAGAGTCAAAATATAATGTCATAAGCACGATGTGTCCCAATTTTCTGGTACATCTCTCTTTCAAAACACTGTCAATGACTTCCTTTTCTTTTTTGAATTGTTAAAGTTGTTGCTCTTTGGGGTTCTAAGAAATACACACACACACACACACACACACACACACACACACACACAAATAATATCTCCCAACCCTGTAGCAGCAGGTGCTGTTGCTTACAAAGAGGGGCAGGGGAGGGGCAAGGTGCCAGAGACCTGGGTGCAGTGCGAATGGGCCAGATGAGCCAATCCAGTTCTCCCACAACCTCCCTGCCGCTGTCCCAGTAAGCGGCAGTGACTCATCTGCCAGGAAACTAGTGTGCTGGCTCTGCCCACCCACTGACCTCATGGTCAGATTCAAGCTGGAATGAAATTTCTCTGAAAACAAATTTCTGATAAATGTGGTGAATTTTTCTTTTTTTCTTTCTTGAACTGAACTGCTGGAGAATGTATTTTGAGGGGAAACAGTCCTAATCCAGAATGCAGTTTCTATCAGTTTCCTGCTTGAGCAGCGCCCCCCCCCCCCACCCAGCTGCTTTTTGCCCCCAAGCTGCTTTTTGCTGAGAGGAGAGGGGATTTTCAGCAGGAACCTCACATAGGTTGCCTGTCTAAAACGGGACCCCATGTCTTCAAAGACAAAGCACACTTTTTAAAACGCTGCAGATAAAGTAAAATGGTGTTTGGCCCTGTGTGGCCCCGTTTAGCAGGCAAGTGGAAGAGGATCTATGGATCACCAGAGGCACAGGTGCAACAGAACAACCAAAGGGCTTCCAATGTCCCATGGTGGTCTGCTCCTCAAACTGACACCTTCTTCTCAGAGGTTTCTGTCTGCTGTAGTTCCCTGTTCCAAACTGTGCTTGGTGCTGTGAGTAAAAAAAGCCGGTGCCCAATTCTCAGGGCTTCACGTTGAGGCCACACACTCATACCCTCCAACATTTCTCCGATGAAAATAGGAATATCCTATTCCATAATATGGGACGCGGGTGGCGCTGTGGGTTAAACCACAGAGCCTAGGACTTGCTGATCAGAAGGTCGGCGGTTCGAATCCCCGCGACGGGGCGAGCTCCCATTGCTCGGTCCCTGCTCCTGTCAACCTAGCAGTTCGAAAGCACGTCAAAGTGCAAGTAGATAAATAGGTACCGCTCCGGTGGGAAGGTAAACGGCGTTTCCGTGCACTGCTCTGGTTCACCAGAAGCGGCTTAGTCATGCTGGCCACATGACCCGGAAGCTGTATGGCAGCTCCCTCAGCCAATAAAGCGAGATGAGCGTCGCAACCCCAGAGTCGGCTACGACTGGACCTAATGGTCAGGGGTCCCTTTACCTTTACCTAATTCGATAATAATAATTTCATTCATTATACCTCGCCCATCTGACTGGGTTGCCTCAGCCACTCTGGGCAGCTTCTAACATACATAAAAACATAACAAAACATTAAACACTTTTAAAAAAAAACCTTCCCTATACAAGGCTGCTTTCCGGTGTCTTCTAAAGGTTCTATTTTTATGTATCTCCTTGGCTTGGGGGTTACATAACTCCATATTTCGCTGATGAAAATAGGGACATCCTAAGGAAAAGTGGGACATTCTGGGATCAAATCAGAAACTGGGTTGGCTTCTGTAAATACAAGACTGTCCCTGGAAAATAGGGACACTTGGAAGGTCTGCACGCTGCCTGTCAAATGATGCAAACAACGACATCGTTCAAACTGACTCAACATTGTCTTGGCAACATTGTGGCTGCCCTGTTTACCCATCATGAGATGGCCTGGGCTGAAGGCCTCTGCTATGACAACAAAGCTCATGTCCCTGTCATCTGCTGTGTTTGGAATTAAAATATTTATGGTTCTGAGAAATTTTAATCAGATATTACATAATTAATTTCAAATGGAGCATTCATTCTCTTTCTGTATTTGTCCCTGATAGTTTCAAACCCTTATTTCTTTTCACATAGCTTGCTATCCTATTGGGGGCATTGACACTTCCTCAGACGCTGCCTGTAGCGGGCGTTGGAACAACTATGCCACAACAGCTGCTGCCACCCCAATCGGTAAGTATTTTATAGTACTTTGAGGCTGCAATCTTATACCTGATTTGTTGTTTGGTCATTTAGTCGTGTCCGACTCTTGGTGACCCCATGGACCAGAGCACGCCAGGCACTCCTGTCTTCCACTGCCTCCCACAGTTTGGTCAAACTCATGTTAGTAGCTTTGAGAACACTGCCCAACCATCTTGTCCTCTGCTGTCCCCTTCTCCTTGTACCCTCAATCTTTCCCAAAATCAGGTTCTTTTCCAGGGAGTCTTCTCTTCTCATGAGGTGGCCAAAGTATTGGAGTCTCAGCTTCACGATCTGTCCTTCCAGTGAACACTCAGGGCTGATTTCCTTAAGAATGGATAGGTTTGATCTCCCTGTACTCCATGGGACTCTCAAGAGTCTCCTCCAGCACCATAATTCAAAAGCATCAATTCTTCAGCGATCAGCCTTCTTTATGGTCCAGCTCTCACTTCCATATATCACTACTAGGAAAACCATAGCTCTGATTACCTGGCATTAAATCCCACTGAACTCTGACCATGCACTTATAGGATGGCACTGTAAACATACTAATGGTGCAAGTCTATATAAGTCTGCTCCAAAGTGAGCAAAGGATGGCGGCTAATAGTGTCTACACTATTCACCCTTCGCCATTTGGGAATTTATGTTGGTGCTAGTGAAGAGATACTGGTGCAACACTAAAAAACACACACTCACCCTTCTAGATAAGGCAGCACAGCTAGAGATTGGAAACTGGAATGCAAATGAGAATAATGTCCCCATAACTTCTGTGATTACTTGTAGCTTTGTAAGGGGTAATCTACAGCTTCCAGGATCCTTGTGTAGGAAATGTGCTTTAAAAATATGGTGCGTATTTTAAATTTGTCAAGGAGGTGCCAATTATGACAACTTTTCTTACAGATGCTTCCAATTATAGTTGCGCAAATGGGGCCACAGGTAAGAAGTTAGACAAAACTATTTTAATAATAATAATAATAATAATAATAATAATAATAATAATAATAATATACCCTGTCCATCAGGCATCCACTCTGAATTTCTTGGGCTCTTGAAATATAGTTGTCCCTTTCTTTTTTTCTTTTTTCCTGAAAAATGAGGGGTGAACGCCTGTCAGATATTTCTGAGCTACAGTTCCCATCATTGCTGACCATTGGCAATGCTTGCTAGTGCTGATGGGAGTTGTAGTCCAACAACATCTGAAGTGCCACAGGGTCCCCATCACTGCCCTGTTCTCTCATTGCACCTAGTTAGCAGTTGGGTGAGGGAAAGGAGTGACCTCACATTCCCTGCCATATCCACTCTCCACGTGCTGGTGGAAGGTCTGGTGAACCTGTACTACACATATAGGCTCACTGCATGATTTAGCTCCCCCATGGCCTGGCAGGGGGTATGGTAGCAAGGGGGGGGGCTAATGGCCATGGCCTCGCTTTCCCTTGCCCACCCTCCAACATTTTGCTGGGGAAAATAGGGACGTCCGATGCTGTTTTTTCTAGAAAAAGAGGAGCTGGAACTCACCATGAACACCTCCCTCATTCTCCTAGAATCTGACATTATTGTTAATTGCGTGAGGGAATATGGCTCTAGCTTATTAGAGATGCTCATTCTCATAGCAAGGGGAGATGTAGCTTAGTCACAGAGCATTTTCCTCGCAAGCAGAGGGCTGCATGTTCATTCCCCCAGCATCTCTCGGTAGGGTTGGGAAAGATACAAAATACTGAGCTCAACAGTCTGGCTCAATGTGAGGCCGCTTCCTTCCCACGTTTTGCTCTCGAGAGAAACGCACAAGTGGAAAGCATGGGGATTATTTCTCTGTCCTGGATCTGGCAGGGTGTTTTAATTCCAATGAAACCTGCACAGAATCACACACAGGCAGATACCAGATGGCGTAGATGCGTGCTAAAGAGCTAGGAACTGGTGGTGTTGCATAGTGGCTACGTTTGTTGACAGACCGAGCTGTGAACAAGGAAGTCCATTTCGTACGTTGCCTCTGACATATAGTAATTTGCCTCATAAGACTACTAGGCTACTACTACTACCAATACTACCCAGTTGGCATTGAATTTGAATAGACTTTTTTTTTGTGTGTGTGTGTGTGTGTATACACCCACACCCACACACCATTTCTATTGTTTTGATATACTGAATAGTTTCATATCTGTTGTTAGCATATTGTAAATTTCTTTTGGGATGCCTCATGGCAAACTACTCCTAAATGAAATAAACAACAACTACAAAGCCTGCTGGTGTTAGTATGTTGTGTACCTTCTTAAAGATACCATTTAAATATATATATATATTTCTGCAAATTTAGCTTTTACTTACCTCACCCCTCTCCTTTTTGGGGCTCTAGGGTGCAGTGCTCAGTTCTGAAGAAATGGTAAGTAGCTCGCTCCTTAATTTCTTATATTCTTTTCTCAAAATAGTTGGTCAGCAATCACCACCGAGCTGTTTCAAGCCCACCCTGTTAGTGTGGCCCCCTCACTTCTGTGGCCTCCACTACATAGGAGAACAATGAAGCACCCATTCCAAGATCCTGGGTCAAGGAGGGGGAGGATATGTCAGAATTTAGTCTTGGTTTTAGGACTCAGTACCCCTGAGTATTTTAGTTTTTGTTTTGAATGTGAGGAAGCCTTTAGTCAAGGTATATGAAAACTCTGGGCTGAGGGCCAAAACTGGACACCTTGGAACTCTCCCCTGGCCTCCCCTCTATCCACACCTGATGATGCTCTAGGCACAACACACCCTAGCCAGCTTCCTGATTGTGGGTTTGTGTGACTACCCACTCTGGCCACACCCTCACACTCTGGCCTCACCCTCTTTTGGCTCTGACCACACCCACCGCTAGGGACGCAGGTGGCGCTGTGGGTTAAACCACAGAGCCTAGGGCTTGCCGATCAGAAGGTCGGCGGTTCGAATCCCCGCGGCGGAGTGAGCTCCCATTGCTCAGTCCCTGCTCCTGCCCACCTAGCAGTTCGAAAGCACGTCAAAGTGCAAGTAGATAAATAGGAACTGCTCCGGCGGGAAGGTAAACGGCGTTTCCATGCACTGCTCTGGTTCGCCAGAAGCAGCTTAGTCATGCTGGACACATGACCCGGAAGCTGTACGCCGGCTCCCTTGGCCAGTAAAGCAAGATGAGCGCCGCAACCCCAGAGTCGGTCACGACTGGACCTAATGGTCAGGGGTCCCTTTACCTTTACCTTTACACCCACCACTGCAATGTAAAGGGGCTTCTGTTAGTTGGATCTGGCCCAATAATAACTAATAAGGATTGATGTGTGGGTAGGCTTGCCAAAACAAAAAATGTTCATGTGCGTGATAGTATACCCGTCACCGAATCCAACTTTTCTTGGAGCAGAATTTGGTATTCTCCCATCTCACCATGGGGTTTAGGGAGATGCTGAAGTTCCAACTCAAGCACTGTGGATAAGAAGGCACACTACATTTCTCCTCCTCCTCCTCCTCCTCCTCCTCCTCCCTCTCTCTCTCTCTAATGTCCAAAGAGGCTCTCTGTGACGTTGATGTTAGCCGTCAAACATCCTGACAAGTGTTCTATTGCTTTTCTTCTCCCTTTGTAGCCACCACAGTCGCAGATCGTTGGGGTTCTAGTCCCTGGAGGAGGATTCTTCCCTTTGGGCCAGGCCCTTCCTGAAGGTCAAGAAGATCTTCTTCCAGCAAACCAGGCTGGTTCTAATCCGGGCAACCTACCATTTCCAGAGGGCACAGCAGCAGCCATCCAGAAGATTTCTCCAACAGCAAGTGATGGCCTGAGCGAGGTTGCAAGCGGGTTATACCCAACCCCCTCGGGCTTCAGACAGCCAGGCCCTGTGACGAATGGTGTGTTTGCCGAACCAACTGCTGGCATGAATATGGAGCCGAGTGAACTCCGGGAACCGCCTACGTCTCTCGTAAGACTTGATAAGGACAATAATGGGAAGCAGCAGCACAATCTGTCTCGGTCACATGTGAGAGGAGACAGCTACGTGCCATTAAGCACCGTGGCGAGTAAGCCATTGAAAGAACCATAAAGGGAGACCTCTCAATTATCATGTCTTCTGTGTATTGTATATCGTATGCAGATGCTAACATGTGCGTGGTAACTGAGTTGAAATTTGCGCTAGGGGTGGTTGGAGGATTTTTTGTTTTTTTTGAAAAAATAGTAATCATTATGGATTGTATCTAACATTAATCCTGCTTAGAGGAGACCCAATGACATTAATGGACACGAGCAACTTAGGCCCCTCAACTTTAGTGGGTCTTAGTTGGATACAGCCTTACTAGTTGGAAAATTTGGAAATTCCCATTCCAGAAAGGGAAATACTCTTTTAACAGCCTTATAACAATGCTTAGCAGCTTTTAATTCCGGCTCTAGAGCTTAATGACGACAGGTTGAGTTGGGTGATACATATTTTAAGAAAGATTATCGTGAGAATCTTTTTATTTAGTTTCATGCCTCTTTACAGTGAGATCCTTTTTCATAAAGATTCTCTTATATACAGGGAGGAATCTTCACTTGCAGGGGTTCCATTTAGGGAGGGAAACCAGAATCTCCCTTTTCCCTTTTCCAGACACTCTGCAATAATTCATTGGAAGCATAGATCCGTAGCCTGCAAACGAGTTCCATATACTGAGCGGCTATTGTGATAAATGATTAATGGCCAAATTACACATGTGAGCAGAAGACCTGAGTTTTTAATCATAGGAACTGCCCAAATCACATGTAAAAGGGTGCCATTTAAAGTACAAAAGTGGTGTATGAGGTCCTCTATGCTGTTTTTGTCCTCAACTAAGTCTGCAGGGGCCACATGCCAGTTCCTGCCTGCTAGGGATAAGACTTGAAAAAATGCTTCATTACCACTTTCTTATATGATGCAAAGCCAAAAAAACCAAATTATAAATTCATGGGAGATGTATCCTGCTGAAGATATCAGATAATGAGAGACTGTCCATCAAAGAACACATTCATTATATTTCACGATTTGACATGACGTGGTGAACAGTGTGCCACAAATGTCCCTTTCCTCATTGTGCCATATTGCATCTGATAGCAATTTCTGGCAGCAATGCATAATAAACAATAAATATCTTTTCAGAGGCATGTGATTGGGCTTGAATTTAGTGCGCTATTCCAGCTGAAAGTTTTAATCATAATAAAGGGAATGAGAAAATTTTCCATTCACAATATGAAGCTTGTTCTGGTTATTTCTTCTTTATGGTTGCTTGGAAATGTTTGTCACGCTATTACAAATATTACGCCTGCACAAATGTAACAGCTTGCCAGATGGAACGAGCTCCCCTCGTCCCCATGTCCTGTTCTGGGGTTTCCTCATGAACACACCCCGATTTTAGGGAAAACCCTAAATTTTAGGGGAAATTTTAGGGGGAAATCCTGTTGCATAAGCGGAGGTTCATTAGATAACAAGAGTATCATAACAAACGTTGCTCGAGTTTAACAAAATCTAATACAGTTTGAAATCCAAACTAGAGCTTTAATAGCTACTCTGTTATTGGTGGGAGTCTCTTCCCACCTCCTAGTTTTGTCTGATTATCATTCTTCTTGCAGTAATCCCGAGAAAACCCATTAATCCCAATTTTATTTTATTCTTTGGTAGATTTACAAAAAGAAAAATACACACCAATAAATAATTTTTAGAAAGGAGCAAGATGAGACACTGACGCACAAAGCATATTTAAAAAATATCAAGACTCCTTTGTGCTCTGCTCCGCTCCTCCTTTCTTCCCACCCAGGGCAGCCCTACCCTCTGCCTGCACTATATATATATATATATATATATATATATATATATATATATATATAAAATTTATTATTTTTATTATTTATACTCTGCCCATCTGGTTGAGTTTCCCCAGCCACTCTGGGCGGCTCCCAACCGAATGTTAAAAACACAATACAGCATTAAATATTAAAAATCTCCCAATACAGGGCTGCCTTCAGATGTCTTTTAAAAGTAGGGTAGTTGCTTATTTCCTTGACATCTGATGGGAGGGCGTTCCACAGGGCAGGCGCCACTACTGAGAAGGCCACTACCGAGAAGGCCCCTTAACTTTAGTAGGTCTTAGTTGAATACAACCTTACTAGTTGGAAAATTTGGAAATTCCCATTCCAGAAAGGGAAATTCTCTTTTAACAGCCTTATAACAATGCTTAGCAGCTTCTAATTCCGGCTCTAGATCTTAATGATGAGGGGTTGAGTAGGGTGGTACATATTTTAGAGCTGACGTGTCATGTGGGGCTGGACCTCAATGTCTCCCCCTCCTGGCCTGCTCTCCAGAAGCCACTATGAGCTGCCCAAGAGAGGAGGCTAGTGGTGGCGGCCAAGGAGAGGCCATGGAGAGGCGACGGGATGCTCCTTCGTAGATACCACTGCCATGATTGCTGCTCAGGGCAAGCACCAGGTCATCCTCCTCCCCAAGCTCTGCAGTGGCAGTGGGAAAAATGGGGACATTCCAGGATCAAATCAGAAGCCAGGATGGCTTTCACAGTTCTGGGACTGTACCTGGAAACTAGGGACACTAGAAGGGAGGTGACAGAGACACTGCAGGAGTTTCAACCTGTGAGTCAGAGGATGATGTTTATACACCCACCAGTCTCAACAATACTGGCAGCTCCCATACCCCACCCAGAGGAAGTAGCCTGAATCCTCGCCAGAGTTTTCTGCCAAACACTGCAAGGTCATGAATCATGACAACAAGAGCATTGTCTCTCACAGGCTCACCGACCACAGTGTGTCTGTTTACCCAGGTACTATTTCTACACACATACTATTTCTTGCTGCAGAAGCTTATGACAGCCCTGCTGATTTGCTGCAGAAAACCCTCACTGAAACACCAGCAATTGTGGCACAACCTGTGTGCTATTATTGCTGTTTTCCCCAGATCTGTTAACCTGAGAACAATGCATGTCTGGGAGAAGCTTTCACACCCTTCAAAAAACAGGGGAGTTGTGAAGCTCCTGCAAGGTGAAATCCCTAGGCTGTCCAGCGAAAACAATCTAAAGTGTCAGGCCTGGAAAGACCCCCAGAGCCTGAGAGTGTCTGGAGATGGTAGACAATATTGGACTAGATCAAGGTGTCCCAACCTTGGGTCTCCAGCTTTTTTGGGACTATAACTCCCATCATCCCTAGCTAGCAGGACCAGTGGTCAGGGATGATGGGAATTGTAGTCCCCAAACAGCTGGAGACACAGGTTTGGGAAACCCTGGGCTAGATGGACGTATGGTGTAAGGCAGTTCTGTATGCTTCTAGTTCATTGGCCATGTACTGCAGCCCTCCAGGTGCATGACAAACTTTCCCCAGCTTTTGCAATCTTAGGCAAGCATCAAGAGTCATGCAGCTCCACAGCTATCCCATCATATATCTTAGTGGACTGTGTGACTTGTGATAGATCACCAGTTGTTTAAGCAGCCATCCTGCTCTGTTGCTGTTTGAGACTTTCTTCCAACCAACTGCCGAGACATGTAACTACTGCCTGTCTCTCCACAAGTCTTTGCTCCTCCACTTCTCTCCCTTTCTTCTGTTCTCCGTTTACTCCTTTGTCATTTCAATCCCTCTTCCGGAACTCCCTCCTTACAACGAAGGCACGAGGTACCTGCACATTATTGCAATTTATGAACTGTTGCCCATTTAAAATGGTTTGTGCAGCTGGAATGTAAGTGGCTCTGAACACTTTGCAATGCTAACCGGGCTTCCCTGTTTGCTCAAACGCCCCATCTGGTCTCTTCAGAAGCCACTTATATGTATTGGGTACGCAGGAGACATCAGCTGGGTAATTTGCTAATACTTTAGGTTGCTCATGGCAGCTCCTGGTCTTTTTGTAATTAATATTTGCTCAAACGTTTCCCCAGGCTAATCAGTATTGATTGGAAAGATCAAAGCGCTCCCCAATCCTGTGCGATCTTTACTTCTTTTTAAATGAATTGCCCCTTCTCGGACATGCATGGAATCTGAAACGCAGTCTTTGCAAGGAGAATATGAAAGCAAACTATTTTAGGATGGAAACGTATTTCCATTTCAAAGCCCCAAAGAAATATTTCTCTGTATCTTCCACTGGCAGACAAAGTCTGGGCTAGAAATACATTCACTGCAGAGATTGCTTGCCTCCAAAAGCAGTGGCGGAGCTTCATGCTCCAGCACTGGGAGGTGGAGAGCAGGTGGGGCGGGGCATGTGTCCTGGGGGCGTGGTGCCCAGTGTGGGCGGGGGGCAGCCGTGATGGCACCCCACTGGGATCGCACTGCCAGGGGCGGTGTGCTCCCCCCACACTCCTCTTCCTCCGCCAGTGTCTAAAAGAAGGAAGCCTGGATAGCTCAGCTGGTTACAGCATGGCGCTGATAACGCCAAGGTTGCAGGTTTGGTCCCTGTATGGGACAGCTGCATATTCCTGCTTTGCGGAGCGTTGGACTAGGTGAGCCTCAGGGTCCCTTCCAACTCTACAGTTCTGTGATCCTGTGAAGACCAGACTTTGTCTGGAGTTCCAGCTCTTCAGCTCACAAAGACTCCAAGGGAAAGCTCTAAGCCAGTTTCACTTCTACTTATGTGGTTGGTTTCACAAAATAGTATTGGGTGACTGTGATTCAACCCCTGCAGTGGAAAGGCAGGGCGATATGACTGAGTCCTCAAGGCCACTTAACAGTTACATGAAGCCCCTGGGGGCAGTCTTTAGAAGATGGGTGAGAAGGGGCCACCAGTATGCTCGTGACACCTAGCCCTAGTTTGTGAGATGTAGATGAGATGTGGGATAATATTTCTTAATATTGGGGTGGACATTATTATTATTATTATTATTATTATTATTATTATTACCCCACCCATATAGCATTAAATATTACAAACTTCCCTAAACAGGGCAGGCCTTCAGATGTAATAAAACCCTCTCAATTCAAATTGGATTGGCTATTTCTCATTACACCCCTAAATAATCTTCCCATTTAAAAAAAAACAGCCCTTTTCCCAATATTCTGTGTGTTCTTTCTTCTTTCTTTCTTTCTTTCTTTCTTTCTTTCTTTCTTTCTTTCTTTCTTTTTGCAACTCTGAGTTTTCCAGTTGTCCTTATCAAACTTAAGCCATAAATTCTCCTCCAAGCCTGGAAGTAAAACCTTGAAATCACCTGGTTTCTCGCTAAGATTGTACCCTCATTCCTCAAACTAATTGCCCCAAACAAGATTTCTGTCTCTAAACAGGGATGAAAAACTTGGTTAAAATAAAAGCAATCCAATTTAACAAACATAAAGGCACACACCTGGGCAATTCCAGACAACAGGGGAAGTCATCACTCACACAACTTTAGTTCATATCTTATAAGTTCATCCCATAGTTTATAATTGGGGTGTTTTTCCTTGAACAGCTGTTTCCTAGCTGAATAAAAGAGGAGAGACATAGGTAACTCTCAAATTCAGAACAAACAATATGTAGCATCAAAAGGTACCTAAAGATACAAATGGATGAAAGGAGTAAGATATTTCATTCCCAATTAAGCAACAATTCTGTGTTGCTCCAGAACAGGCTTGAGTGGGTCACAGTGATAAATCCACTCCTTTTTAATTAGAATAGGGAGTAACCAGAATCCTCTTCTCCAGGGATTCCTTTGGTGCTGCTATCAGAAAATTGTCAACCAAAACTATATTCAAAGGAAGATATAGTGTCCATCTCTTTGTTAATGTCAAAGTTTGTATGGTGGAAAGAATGATCCATGTATTCAAGGATGTTTAGCCATCATTTATTTTGCTCCCTCCAGTCTTTGGACTTGGCACAATCATCAAAGCTTCCTGAAACCCAACTTCAGTTCATACAGGAAGTGTATGAAGGAACTGCTCCTTCTTACAGCACCCCAAAACCCAGAAAATAAGTGTTTAAAAGTCCAGCAACTAAAACAAAGTACTGGATACAAAAATGCATGTAGTAGAGTAAAGTTTGAATAAGATGCCTATAACTATTAGGGATGCAAAAATGTGCCCATTAGGAAAAAATTGCCTGCAAAGTTGTATGTAATACACAAAATTCACACTAAGGTGCTGCTGGATTTTCATGGAGACTTCCTATAGGAAAAAATGCAAAC